ATCTCCAAAGTTCGGGAAAAATCAAACGATGGCCATTATGGCAACATTTGTGAAAGAGGTGTCCCACCTTTCCTCGCTGGCTCTGCCAAACACCGTGTCCAGTTCTGACTAACAAGCACAGCCACAGACAGACAATGATAGTGGATCGAGGAGCAAAGCCAGTAATCTCACATGAAACAGTACCAAAGTGACACATGAAAGATGCATGCACAGAGACAGGGCAGACGAAGAAGCATGGGGTGTATGTGTAACCCCTCATTTCAGATCCAACCTCGAGATCTTTACATGCAAAGTAAATTTATGAATCTATACATCTGCAGCAATCCCCGTTCTGTCAGCCTGCCCTTTAAAGTCCTAATGACACTCCAGCAAAGTGTGGTGGCTGAGAGAGGGTGGGAACCTGGAGGCTTTTCCTCGGAAAGAGCTGAGAGCATCTTATCGAGAAAGGGGCTAAGAGTGTTGTTGTTACGAAGCCAGACTCCATTTTCCTGGGTCAGAGATATTCGAGAAGTACGCCTCCCTTTTTGCTCCCTTTTCCTGTTGCCGTAGCCCGCAGGTGAGACGTAGAGTTCTGTATCCAGCCACCTGAAAATGAAAATGTGTGCAGAGAGAGAGAGAGAGAGAGAGAGAGAGAGAGAGAGAGAGAGAGAGAGAGAGAGAGAGAGAGAGAGAGAGAGAGAGAGAGATGGAGTCTTTCTTCAACTCAACGTGTGATAAGGATGAGCACAGGCGGAAGACTCTTCTGGAAGTTTTATTTGACACATTATGATAAAAAAACTAATTCAACACTTTTCTGCAGCTTTTTCCCTGCAGAAGCAACTCTTCACATAATTCTCCAGAACTTGCCATGACACAGCACAGGTTTGAAGCTACGCTATGCACAGGTGCTTGAAGGACAATATCGAAGTAGTAGTCTATTATTGTACAGTGTGAATGAATGAAGAGTGATTGAGTGCAGTACTCCACGCCACCTATATAAAGCCCAAGTATTGCAATGTGAGGGCCAGGGAAGGAGAGGGTGAGAGAGCTCTAGAGGCCTAAATGAGGTGAAGGGAAGTGGAAGTGTCCAGTAGGGGGTCCGCTGCTGTGGGAGGAGAGAGAGAGAGCGGGGGATGAGGTGGGGGGAGGGCTCGCTCGACGCAGTGCCGGGGCCAATCCATGAGGGTTTAGGGCTAAGTGTCTCATCAGCATCCAGCTCAGGTGCTGCCAGGGCCCACGCACTAACTATGCCCTGACTTGATTGTAATTGCCTGAATTCAACTCCCGCTGCTCCCTCCTGGCAATATCACAGGAACATTTTACTCCCGAGTGCCTGGAGAATGTGCAGCAGGGCCACGGAGCGCAGCTGACTGCCTCTTGTTGAAGGTTGTGGGCTGCAGGGGGATCCTCTCGTGTTGTCTGCGTTTGGGGGAAGGGTCACAGGTGCATGCACCCCTCTCTTATGGGTTGTTTGTGAACATGAAACAAGTGCAAGGGCTCTGGGTCTACTGTGGGAGTGATGGCACGAGCATAACTAAGGGCACTGCTTTGCTCAGTGCTGCTATACCTGGGAAATGTGCACCTGCTAAAAGACTTTTGCTGTTTTCAACTCCTGAATTAAATCTCTGCACAACCGAGATTAACACCTCTGTTCTATCAGACTGGTTGATTTATACCTTATGATGTTCCATGCTGTTGTGCAAATATACATTTAAAAAAACCCTCAGATTTAAATGTAAAAGTTGGGCAAGAATGTCCCAAATGCGTGGCAGTAAAAGATTCAATCCATCCAAAATTGAGCCCCACTGTTGGTGACATTAGTGACTAACAAGGGTCTGGATGAATTACTTCCCTCTCACACGGACAAAAGCCCTTATTCATGAGCAACATACAAAATTATGAGCAGAAATAGATTTTCCACCAATAACACGCAATCTATGTTTCCCAATTGTCGAGGTCTAGAAACTGCAGCAGGGTTAACTTAAAAAAGTTAGCCTGTGGCGCTCCTCATCCTGTGATAATAGGCCTGTCAGTAATGAAGAACAGGCTTGTTGCCAACAGGTGGTCTCTTTATAAGACCAGAGCCAGAGCACTCAGGATGAGGGAGAAAAAAACTGCCATGGCAAAATGTGTCAGAATCTAATGTTCTGCTGAGTGAAAAGCCTGTTTTCTGTCTTTTGTTCCCAGCCAGAGATTCAGCCTTGTTCCTCATTGTTCGGGGCACAAACGAGCAACAGTCTTTTTTGACACGGAGCCACAGATGAATAAAGACTGGAGCTGACTAGTCACAGGAAAGAGCTTTCTTTTTGGAGGGCTTGGAGCCCATTAAGAGTTTGTGAGATATGAATGGATATGAATCCTCTCCTCCGACCCCACAAAAAAATACAACCGGACCCACGGAGGACAAGGAACACCTCTGTGTCTTTTTTACTGAGGTTCCCAAAGTACATTTCATGACATCAAGCAGAAGAAGGGCTGATGGACGGGCAGGAATTACATGGAGTCAATAGGAAGTGAGTGGCTCATTGTGGATTTTAAAAGGATACGCCATGCCCATCCAACCCTGGAGTACTAACCACTGACACTAATGTCGACGTATTGACTTTTTGAAATAAGCAACGCAAGATCTGTGAATCTGCAGTGATGATAAGCCACTTTGTTGTGATGTAAACCACATTTTATTCCCCTCCGCCACAGAAAATCTCACACACTACGTAAAACAGGATGAAGATGACGAGATATTTGGAAAGCCACTTCACGCAGTCAGGACGTTTGGCTCAATGGGCAGATGATGGGTGGATCCCAGCAAGAGCAGCACACCAAATACAAGCTTTTGTCCAAAGCCATAATCCATTTGTTACACTCAGACCAATTTGTCCTCATTAACCCTCATAAGGGGACCGTGTCTGAGACAAAAGCTCCCAGGAAACAATGAGAACACCCACCCCTCCCCACGTTCACATCCCCAGAGCTCAAGTGCTCCCCTTCCCAGCGCCATTGTTGCCCGGAGAGTTCCAGTCTATGAGCAAGAGATGGACAGAGCCCAACAAGCAGGGTACACCTGAAAGAGGGGGTGAAAAGAAATGTTTCTGCCTTGAGAATGAAACCCCCCCCAAAAAAAAATAAAAATACAATGCTACATCCTCTGTTTTATTCAGGTCACTCCATCAATCAACTCTGAAATGAATCTTGACAGGAAGTACAAAAAACAGGAGCAAAGGAAAGAGAGGGGGGGGGGAGGGGGTTACGGTAGCATCCACGGACGTGAGAACGTTTTCTGGACTTGTCACCTGCAGCAAATATTCATCTGCAACATTACTTTGAATCATTATGAATATTTTATAACAGGAAAAACTTTCAACCAAACAATCCAGACGTTGCTTGTTTGTCAACCATCAACGGATGCTGCGGCATTTTCGAGGACATTTTCATCGTGTTATTAAAATGTTGTCATCTAATCATTACAAAATTCATCTGTGTGCTTCTATCAGTTTAAAACTCCTAACAGACACAAATCTACAGCTCAAGTTTATACAACTTAGTCCTTTTTTCACTGTTTCCTAATATTAAAGCAGCAGTTTAAGCTAATGCGCTACAGTGTTTTCCTAAAAAGGGACAAACACCTGAGTTAGATATAAATGAATAAATAAGTTTCATTTGATGCCTAAAACGCTGACGTTCTGTAGCCAACATATTTGCGATAATAATAAAATAAGTTATTTGATCAAAGCGTGACATAGTTGCCCGTGGAGGAGACGCTAACCTTTTTAAACTGTTTCAGTGAAATAGTTAGGCTAATTTGATTGGATTAATTTGTTACTTTAGCTAAATCAATTCCTAGTTTGGGAACTCTAAAATGACTAACGCTGCGGTTTATTCAAATGCATTTCCTTGTAGATTTTGAATATTTCCCTTTAGCTGCCAGAATGTACTGAAATGATGGAGAAATAACAAACACATGCATTAAATTAAACAAACCTCCAGTTTCATGTTACATCCTTAATTTTGCAAGAAATCAAACATTTTCTGCTGGATTTGAGTCTTGCATGAATCACAAATACTTCCATTTAGCATCTGATGGTGATTTTTACACATTTGAATAACAAACTGATGGCAGTGTGGGGATTTACAAACTGTAATTAATATGAACCACTGGAAAAACTAGCCGTTAGCTCCTCAGTCTCACTGGACATAATCACAGAGGACGTTCAGTGAGCAGTAATATTTAAGTAATACACAAAACACACTTCGCAGTGTTAAAATTAAGGTATTTAAGCTGACTGAACCATCTTCACAATTATTATCCTAGTTTTTGATCATAGGTACATTTTGTGAAAACAGGTGACAGATTCAAGCTCCTGAATGTAAGACACAGTATAATCCAGCAGTCCTTCAGATCCTCTCATTAAAGAGAAATATGTAATTATTCCTTCAGTCAGTGGCTCAGTTAAAACTCCATGCAAAAGGCTTTTATGTACATGTCACAGTGTCAAACGCAGCGGCGTCCCATTTAATGCTGGTTTGTTGGGTCTCCAGTATGTTTTCCAAACAGTTGCAGTAATCAGGTCATTTGTTATAATGACAACCATTAGGGCTGATCATCGTCACACAGCAGTCGGGAGGAGAAATCAGGTGCTCTCTCAGGGCTTCATCACCATCACACACACACACACACACACACACAATGAAATCAGTCTATTAAGATGTAATTATTTAGAGGGACACAATTGCTCATTTTAATGATATAAGGATTGAAAATGAACATTTCATGAACTAGCTTTTAAATTTTTACAGTGAAACTGTAAAACTGTAAGTTGGGTATTTTTATATTTAAACGTTACCCACTATGTGCCTGTAAGGAAAAATATCAGAAAAATCCTAATTTAAAGTATATTTCCTTAATATTGTCTCTAAATGAACAGATTCCAGGTTTTTGAGCAGGAAAAACATTTATTTACACAAGAAATATTTCTGTACAAATGAACAAGATCCCAATGAAAGGTTGTTTAATATAAATGAGATGAAGCGTCAGACTGTTTTATTACACATGCTGGTTTATAAAAACTCCAAACTAAAAGCATCAGTCAGCATTTACATTAATCAGAATACAGACACCGTTGCTGTTTATTGTCTAAGACAAACTAGATCTTTGCACTGGTTTTTACTGGAGAACTGTGATAACAGGTGAGGATAATTAAATAAAGCACATTTACTTCCAGAGTAACACCTCCGGCGTGTCTGTCTGTGCATCAGAGCGAACAATCGGGGCCAAATCTGGGTCCAAACTCACTCATCCTCTTCAGCAGCGCTGCCTTCACCGTGCTGATCTTCTCATCCAGCTCTGTCAGACTACAGGCCTGAAATAAAAACACGAGATCAGCTGAGCTTTCATAACAAAATAATAACAAAAGGGAATAAAAGCAGGAGGACGCAAACCTGAGCAGGAGACATCTTTAGTCGCTTGTGTAGATGTGTCTGAAACATAACCAAACATTTCAACTCAAGCGCTTTCTAAACGGACTCAGAATTCTAAACATTTTATAAAAGAAGCAGAAGACTTAAAGAAATTCTGATTTATTTTGCTCTTGTTTGATATTATCACAATAGAGGCTGTAAACGGAGCTGCGGGGGTTAGAATTCAGGGAACGACCTTGGGTAAACCTGAACTGCCTGAAGAACCATCATTTAATCCCACTGCAAGCACAAAACCCTCCAGTATTCCTTATGGAGCCGCGCCTCGCTTCACTGCCGAGTATTAGAATGTTGTTCCTGAAATCCTGGGCCAGCTGAGTGCAGCTTTTCAGCAAACACCAAACTACAGCGAAAAAACAAAAAAGAGAGAGAGAGGGAGGGAGGGGGATTCAAACATAAAAGACCCCCATCTTCATCCGTTTATTCAAAGACACTCGACATCTCTTGCTCTGCTCACACAAACATGCAGTGAGTCAAAAGCAGATGGAGAGCAGCGCTCTCACAGAAGCAGCGTGCTGTGCTGAGAAATACCAGTATGAAGAGATGCGCAGCAGCTCAAGCACACTTAGCTAGCTAACACACTGGACAGGCTGCTTTAGTTCACTAAATTAGAGTCTGGGACTCTGGTGGGTTCAGCATCAAGTCCAACAGCAGAGCCACACAATGGATCTCTGCAACTAATCGCCATTGCGTCGGACTCATTTGTCCCCTGTGACCTAAATGTGTGTCAGAGACGATCATTAATAAAGGGATAATCCAACACCCCCAGGCTGCAGCTGCAGGTGACAAAAACATTCACTAAATAACTGAAAGGGTTCTTGGGTTCCTCACACACGTCACTGAAACTTCAAACGTGTTCAAAAATGTTTTTGTCAAAACAGATTTTCTCTCTAATTAGTGGCAGATCTGTCGCAGGAAACTGGAATTTGTCTCGATGGGCAAAAGAAGAGAAACAACTTGGGTAGGAGTTTATGTACAAATGAAGATTTTACCTCCTATAGGAGGCCGACTTCTTTCAATGTAACATTTGATTCTATTCAACTTAGACTAGTTTTTCTTCAGAGCCCCGGCTTCAATACCAAGTGTTAAAAAGACATCACGACATAATTTTAGAAAAATATTCATTTCCTTAAAGCATTTGAACCACTAATGGTTTAAAGAGCAAGTCATCCCCAAATCAACTTTTTTTTCTGATAAACTATATAAATGCATGTCTAATCGTGCTGCAGACACATGTAGTCAACAGTTTAGCACTTTAGTGCATCTTAGTTAAAATTTAAATTTTCTGCCTAAAACTGTCAGTGTTGTGCCGTTGTCAGGTAAAAAATCTGCAATGCATTTGAATTTAAATCTGCCATCGCTATTGGCTAAGAGGTACCCTAGGACGTTAGCTGGTACCATATGATGTCACAATGTCGTTGTGAGCCTGTGTGCATTTGTTAGTGGCTCCGCCCTCTCTGTCTGCTAGGCAACAGCATTTGTTGCATTTTTCAAACAGGAAGTGGGAGTGAAGCAATACTCTGGTAGGGGGTGACTTGCTCTTTAAGTTCATGAGCCCCAGATGAAAATAAAACAGCAAACCAAAGAAAAGCTCAGGAAGGTAATTAGAATACTTAAACTGAAACAAGAAACTTTGCAATAGTTTAAACTTTTTTGTAGTTACATCAAATACCTCGTGTGACTCAAATATAACTAAAACTTCTCACATAAGTGTAGCAGTTCAGTGGACTCTACCTAAAACAGCAGATATTCTAACTACTTATTACCATAGAAGCTCAAGATCACCTGTTGTTGTCTCTAAACCTAAAACCTGTTCAGACTTAAAATTTGCTTCAGGAATGTTGCATCAATGTACTAAATATCTCCCTCATTCCCACATTATCACATTCAAAAACAAATAACTCACATAAGTTAAACCACCTAAAGGGCGGTCCAGACATCGTCTTTTACAAAAAATGACCAATGAAGTAAAAGTTACGGAGAAATGGAAGCAAACTGCTTTAGAGGTAATATCTGTGAACGTCAGGGGAGGCTAAAAGTGCTCCAAGATGAAGATTTGCACAGAATAAAAATCTAAGAGAGCACTGGTTGAATTTGCATTGAACTACATTATGTGAACTGTCATCATTTAAGTTTAGTTTCTAATGCAGATCTCTGTGCTGTAATGTTATCTGAAAAAGCTTTGTGTGTTTAGTCCAGAAGACTCACCGTGGACTGAAAGTACTCAGGAGAGAGTCCCTCCAGCTCCAGGATTCGATCCTCCAACTTCTTCAGTCGCTGGTAGACGGTCAGAGGAACCGGACCCACTGAGGAATAAAACATAAATATAATATGTTCCATACACCAGACTGGGAAAAAAAGGACTAAAACAAAACCCAGAAAATAGGGAGAGAAATCATCGTGTGACAAGATTCTCCCCAAAAATATGTACGTAGTTATCATCTGGTGTTTTAAATCAGCCAATATTCAACATGACAAGGTGATCAGTCAACCCAGCACCTGAGAATCAGATTTTCCCCAGTTTGTTCAAGTTAAAGACAAAAAAAATAAAATCTGTTTTTTTTTTTCCTAGTCCATGAACACACCATCACTATCATTGGTTGGTTAGAGTAGTGAAAACTCAGAAATCAGTATCGGCCATAAAAATTAGAATCCGTGCATCTTTGAGTGTGATTAACTCTTTTTTGTGTGACTTAAGAAAAACATCAAGAATTTATTTTCTTGTTGATATTTTATAAAAAAAGGTGCTCATCATGTCACAATATCTATATTATTTGTATTGTACAGTTTTATTCAGGATGTGTGACGCATCACTTGTCTCTCTTCTCTCACCTGACGGCAGTTTCAGGTGAGTCTCCATGTTCTGAAGTCGCTCCTCTATGGCTGCATTTCCACAGTCTCTTGCAGCTGCCCCCCTATGATGCTCTGCAGCCTCTCCCTGGCGCCCCCCGCCACGAGTCTGGGGCCCGTAAGTGTTTACCACTCGTGAAACTGATCAACCAAAGAATAATCACAGACTCGGATGAACCAACCAAATTTTAAATGATGCACATTACAGAAATCACACAGCATCCATGATGCTTGTTACCAAATTGTTAACAAAAATAATTTAGCTAGTGATGATGAGTGTATTTTTGAACGTAAGAGCAACAAAGAGTCCCCTTTTCTTACCTTTAATGTGGCTTTTAAAGCCTGGGTAAGGAGTGAACACGGCGTCCGTCCTGGCACAGCTGTTTTCTACAAAGGAATCAAATCCAAAACAAAAGTGTAATTAGACTTTCTAAATGTAAGAAGAAAATAGTCATAAAAAAAACATTAGAAATGAATACACCACACTTGAACTGCAACTTCGTCTGATTTCCATTACTGGCGTCACACACAAGCTTTGAATTTCAAACAGCCTGTGTGTCTGGTGTTTTTCTGGCCAGAGCAGGTTGCGTTTCAAGGCCGAGTGTGTTAGCTACTTCAGGCCCACTCTTGGAGCAGTTCAGCCTGACCTCTCGCCTGTGGAAATCAGCTCTCTCCCAAACATTGGCAATCTGTGTGCAGCCTCCCTCTCCACCCTGCCCCCCAATCTCTCCTCCGTTCTCACCCTGATTGCAGTCGATCACGTTGCAAAACTCGCGCACGTTGTTTTCATTGATCTCCATCTGCTTGCATTCCATAAATGCAGATATTCTTCGCTCGATCTGGAGTTACAGAGAAGACAGATAATAAGACACAACGGGTTGATGAGCCACTGATAGCTGTGAAGAATTCAATGTTTTGTCGACTTATTTTTACTGATTTAGAGTAAACAAAGTTCAGCGATTTATGGTTTCAAAAAATATCAAACACAGTGAGAGAAATTATTCCAGATAGCTCAAACAGTTGAATAGATTATCGTCATCATGTGATGGAATAAGAATACGGTTTGCCTGGCTACCAAAATAAATGCACAACAGAATGGGGCCTCTTGTCCTTCATCCACATGCAATCTCAGAGTAATGAGCATCCACTTCATAATCCATCAAGGACCTGGCCCTCTCTCAAACCCCTCCAGCAATGTGGTCCATTCTACCCCACCACAGCACTACAGAACCCTTTATTCTCTGTCAAACCCAGTATCAGAACTCCATCAAGCATTTGCTGCACATCATGTGCACATCCTTGGAACCAATTACTTATGATTATTCATTTGCTTGACAGAGTGTGAAGGGCTCTAAAATATCAGTGCCAGAACAGCTGACAGATCTGTTGACAATGACCAACCTCTGACTTCCCGGCTCGGATCTGAACCATGACGTCATCGCCCGAAGACCCGCAGTCTGCAGCCTCTGAGCTGTGACGCCGGTGCTCGGATGATAGTGACGTGACAATGTTATCCGCCGTGTCTTCCTTCACAGATGTAACATCAGCTTCTACCAGTGACCTCAGGCTTTCTGAAACAGCCTACAGCCAAACAGAAAGAACACTGACTGCTACAAACACATTATAAATGAGTGTTATTATTTCTTTAATTAAAACACTAGTGACCATCAATTATACTGTAAATGTGGCACTTATTAGATATTGCAGTCATATGTAACATAAATTAACCAACGGGTGAATGTCTTACCTGCAACTTAGCAATGTGCTGCTGTACACAGCCATAAACACCTGCTTCTGAAGATGACGAAAGTACTACAGCTCCAGGGTTGACCTCTATTCTCAAAGCAGCATCCCCTAATTTCAGCTTTGAGAGAAAATAAACAAGAGTTTCATCAAGTACACATCACCACAGCTAAATAAAAAATATATAGTTCAAAATAGTAGAGGCAGAAAATGCTAAATAATTTAAGTAATTTAACCAACAATTTGGTAATTAAAAAAGAAGCAATTTTTCATAATTTGCTTCTATAAACGGTCAAATTAAATAATCTTATTGTTTTACACTGAACCTTTCTGCTGTGCTAGAAAAACTAAACCATTATTTAGCAAAAAAAAAAACTGTGTATATAAGACTGAATACATATATTTAATGTCCCTTTAGAAGCCCTGGGTATGAAAAGAGCTAAAGCATCCAGCAATTTTAATAATTTAGACGTAAACACGGGGGGAAATAGAGCAAGGTTAAATATATTTTCTAAGGTAGAAATGCGTTGTGGACAGTGGCATCAATAAACGTTTACCTGCAGGACCAAAAATTACATAATACTGCGTAAAAATGCCAAAAACCGTGAACGTTTACTATATGGAAAAAGAGGGTAAATGAAAATAAGCGTGATTTGAACCTAAACTGACGTGTGACACAAAAGTCTGGACATGTTTTTATTGCACAGAAATACAAATATTAAAACAGAATCTGTTAATTTAGATATAAACCATCGAGCTGACGCTTTCCTACGGCAAAAACTTGATTAACGGACAGTGAATGAACATGAACCGACGAGACTAGTTGCTAAAAACATTAGCACACCGCTAGGAAACTACTCAGACTGGAATGACTATTCGGAGCGAAGCAGCTGAATCATTTCACACCAACCTCTTTCCCAAAGTCTGAAAGCAGCCCCAGTATTGCGTCCATGCAGTGTTTGTAACTGGACATTTTAGCTGGTTCGCTGGGAGGAGCTTTGCTCTCACTTTGCTTCGTTGTCTCCGCCATTGCTACTCAAACTCATGGAATACTGCGTGCTCATTGGTTGCGAGACGGTGATTTTAATCACGTGGTTGGTGGAACTGCAGGCTAAAATGACGCATGCGCATTAACAGTAGCGCATGAAAGTAAATTCAAAGCACAAAAATAAATGATTTACTGTGTTTTGCTCAGAATTTTGATCTTTAAATAGATTCTGAAACATTAAAAAACCTGTATAGTTTTTTTTTGTTTGATCCTAAAGAGGGCTCATCATAGGTAGAAAGATGCTTTTGTTTTTGTTTGTGGAGATTTAATTTCTAGAAGGCCCATTCAGAAAGCAAAAGTCAACTTTTACTAATTTAAACTATTTAATAAACTAGTACAGATGCTTAAAATTGTGAAATATGTTTCAGTATAACAAAAAAGTAAACAATAGTTTAAAAAACAGCAGAGAAAAATAAACAGAAAATGTTTTAACTTTTGAAATGGACATATTATTTAGGTCTAGTATATTTGTTTGCCTTTTCTCAGAGGATGCTCATAAGGTCATGTCTTATTTGTATAAAGCATATAAAATAAGTTTTATTCTTAAAAAACTACTAATGTTTTTATTGTGCTGATTTTTGAGGTGCTTTATGACTTAAACTCTTTTTTAAATCTTGGTTTAAATGGACTTGTCTACATTTTTACAATACTGACTGACATGTCCAAGCCACATTTGCCTACGTTTTCATTCACCTGCTTCTCAAACAGCACAAAGAATGGCTCCTTATTATAAGCACACTGTGCTTCTTACTGCAGAGGACCAAGCAGCAGGGCATTGGGATGGGAACCTGCCCACAATGGTGTATTTCTCTGAGTTGAGTGACTGTGGGAAAATCTCCCTTCTCTATTCAGACATTTTTCACTTCTTTTCATATAATGAAGAGAGAGACTGATGAAGGAAACAACAGAAAAAGAACAATTACAGGCAAAGAGACGGCACAACCATGCACTCAGAACTCAATAATGCTCTTTAGAAAGGTTAATCATTTTAGGAAGGGCTCTGAAGATAAGCCTTTTTAGCTTAATTCATTTGTAGGGTGATATTTTTTCCCGTGAAACAGGAAGAGAACTGTAACACTTGACATGGTTTGACATGCTGAGCAGTTGCTAAATGTTCCCACACAGCGAGGAGCTCTGAAATTAAATACACTGCTCATTTAATTTGCCTGGCTGCAGACCCAAGAGCTGTAATTTTTTTTACCCTTTTAATGAGCTGTATATGTGATTTAAGGTACTTCTTGGAAAATACTTAGAGCATTTTGGTTGAATTTAACTTTTGAAGCCAAATTGCAGATGCTCATTAGCTAAGGGTCTGACTTGATCTTTCACTATCTTGTTAGTTGAAAAATCATAAAGAACAGCAGAGGTAATACTTACATCATCATATATTAAATTAAATACCAATACTTTGTAATTGCATGTTTTAATCGGGAATTTCCAGGTCGTGCCATCAATTGAACATAAACAACCATTTAGCTAAATGTATTTTTCATTTGCATATGTGCAAATAAATACCAGACAGTCCAAATTTGGTGATGTATTTATTTGAAAACAGCTTTTTTTTTTATATGCGAATACTTTTACATATGACTCGGTCAGCAGCAGTCAAAGAAAGCAGCTTCAGTCTACATCTTTATTTCCTTCAGCAATTCAAACACACACATAAGACCCAATTTTCAGCAATAAAAACAAAATGAAACATAGAACAGACATTATTATTATAGCCCAGGAACGTGCATGTCAAGCATAACAAAACATAGGAACAATATGTTAATCAGTGCAGAGCCGAGGGTTTTTCCACAATCCTTGTACGTTTGAATAAAAGTGAAAATAGCTTCAATAGGTGAGATTTTTCAGTGATTAATAGATGCAACGGTGAAAATGCAAATGTGGTGACAAAATGGTTTGGCCCACTTTAGTGTAAAGGATAAATAAATACAGGAAAATAAATGAATTACACCAAACACAGCAGAAGAGGTACTAGAACATGTAAAGTGTGAGAAACTAAATACAAACGTGAAAATTAACCTAATCTTTTCAAACAGAAGTTGTGTGTCCTGAGTCCCCTTCTGTAGACATTATTTGCTCATGATTGATTTGCTCTGGTGTTCGTATCAAAACATTTTCAGAAGGAACTGCTGTTGTTGGTTTGAACTTCAACATGGATGCGTTTATATAAAAGTTCTGAATTAGGATAGTTTAAAGAAGAAGAAGAAGAAGAAGAAACAGAAGAAACAATTTTTTATATAGCGCCTCTCAAAATAAAAATCACAAGGTGCTTCACAAGAACAAAAAACAAAAGATAAAAATATCATAAAAAATTGAGAAAAAAGAAAAAAATGATCAAAACATGTGAAGGAAGAAAAAAAATGAACAAAAAAAGGTAATCATGGGATCATGAGAAAGGCCGATTTGGTAGAGGTAGCAGCAGGAATAGAAGCTAGTGAGGAAAAATCATCTGGAGGTCACACAAAAGCTTGAACAGGTGAGTTTTCAGCTGCTTTTTAGAGGAGACTACTGAGTCCACTGATCAACCTTAAGCTAGCTGCTATTGGAAGGGTGATCTCAGCATCAGCCAATCATGAAGAGCTTAAATGTACGCCCACCAATGGTGGGCACCCCTGTAAGTGGAGCGACTCCACTGTTCGCCTCCGATGGCTCTTGATCCTAACAGAACCAGTGGGGCCATTTGCTTAAGGGCTGCGACTAGACTCATAGAATCTGGGGTTAGAATATGTAACCAATGTTCTATTTCATCTAGTCTTAGCCCTTAAGCTAGCTGCTATTGGAATAATGCGCAGCTGGATGGGTTTACGCCACACTGGTTAGCTCAACCAAATGGACACACCCAACATGTCTCCTTTTAGCGAGGGTCGTTCAGCCTCAGTCCAGGGCTTAAAAGGCTGAGGCAGCCAGAGAGAAGAGTGGGGCTCCCACTAAAATATCATCCACAAGAGGATGAAATTCATTCAAGTAGGGCTGATGTGGTGCCATAATGCTTTTACTCAGCCTGCTGAGGTCCAAGCACTGAACGAATGATGGATCCTGAAGACACATCTCGTAAATAATAACGAGTAAAGGAACAGGGTGAAGCCAATGAAGCAGCCTAACAAATGTCTTCCATCGATACACCACAGTGGAGCGTCATAGAAGAGGAAATCCCTCTGGCTGAGTGAGCCCCGAGTGTCTCAGGAGGATCCCACCCTGATGATGTGTAAGCGAGTGAAATGGCGTCACACAGCCAGAGTGAAAGACGCTGGGTCGACAGCGCTTGCCCCAGGGAAAAATCTCTGTAGTGCACAAACAGGCTTTGTGAGCGGCAAATCCCTGAAGTGCGTGACACATATCGTGCGAGCGCTCGCACCGGGCAGAGAAGGAGGGAAGCCGCCTCCTCATCAGAATTATGGGGAGGAGGAAAAAGTCCAGCCAATGAAACTGACCTGGGTTTGAAGGAAGTATTAATGTTTTTGGGCACAAAGGCTGGGTTGGGGCATAAAACAGCAGACCCACCATCTTCCCGGATCCTGAGGCATGCGGGAGCCACTGAGAGGGCGGTTTGGTCGCTCACTCTCTTGACTGATGCGAGTGCCAGCAGCAAGGCAGTTGTAAGTGACAGGAACTTGAGTGAGACCTGGTCCAAGGGTTCAAATGGGGCTTCAGACAAGCTGCGCAGAACCACCGTTAGATCCCACTGGGGAAATAGCGGGCGGAACACAGGTCTGTTCCTTCTGACACCTTTTAGAAAACGTTTTGTGAGGGGATGATTGAAAACAGATCTATCTCCAAAACCCTGGTGACAGGATGAGATAGCTGCAGCATATGTTTTAATAGGGCTGAATGCGAGGCCCCTGTCCATCAGTATCTGCAGAAACGATAGGACATCCGCCAGCTGGCAGGAGAGCGCTTGAACATTCCGTTCTGTGCACCACTTTTGGAAAGCTGCCCATTTAGCAGAATAAGATGTGACGGTAGAAGGTGCCCGCGCACTCTGAATCGTGGCGACCACATAATGCGGCAGCCCAGAAGCCTCTAAGCGTGACTGCTCAGCCGCCAGACCCACAGCCGTTGGCCTATTTCTGGAGGATGTTTGATTTTCCCATCCGCCTGGAGAAGGGCGTCCGCCCTCCACGGGGAGCCGGACACCAGCGCTTATAGGTCTGGGAACCATGATGCGGAAATGCGTCTGGGAGCTACCAGAATTACCGAGAGTTGTTCCGACCGAACTTGGTCCAGGAGTCGGGGAATCAGTGTGACTGGCGGAAATGCATATAGGAGCATTTGAGGCCAGGGCTGGTGTGAGAAGGCGCCCGCACCAAGCGGGGGGGGGGGGGGGGGGGGGGGTGGTCCCGGGGACTCAGGGAAAACCACAGGCGACACTGAGCGTTTTCGCGAGCCGCGAACAGATCCACAGATGGTTCCCCGAATTTGATTCAGATCTGTGATGTCAGTGTGGGATGCAGACGCAGACGCATTGAGATATGGTGAATGTTTCTTGCCCAGTCAGTGTGCTGATTAAATATATGGGTCATATATTTCATTTCATCCTTGTTAATCTTTCAGTGTAATAATAATATTAATTTCAACTTCAGTAATTTAAGCACAGATTATTCAAACATTAATATTAGTATTCATATAACATTTGTTCATTCAACCATATTATTATTTAATGATTATTTAACTTATGAGTTGTAAAAGTACTTGTGATTTAAGTTTCCAGAGATTGCCACTCTACATGAGCTACGGTAGGAAATCCAGCAGCAGCTTCACCAACTGATTGAGGGTGCCAGAAAAGATCTATTTTATGAGTTTGTTTCATGCAGAGACAGGGTGGAAGAAGAGATGCCAGGGGAGGATTCAACCGAGTTGGAACTCCTTTACTTCATTGTTGACTTTTTGAGAAGTAAACAACTGAGGAGTCTGGAGCACCAAGGAATGTCTTGCTTGCTGGTGTTTAGTGACCTCATTGATGAACTGCAGCCATCCCAGGAAGTAATGACCAACATCATTCAAAAGAGGAAGAAGTTGCAGCAGTGTCTGAGACT